AATTTCAAACGTATCCCGCGATTTAATGTTTATTAAATCTAATGGAACACCTATTGAAGTGTCCAGGCCAGAAATATACGTAAAGTTGTGACCGGAAAGCTGATCGTTCAGCTGAAATGACAACCAACCAAGAATCAGTTTAAAAGATAATTTAACATACCTACCGCAACTGACTATTGACGAAAATATAAACTCTAAGTCTAGTTTTTTCGAACAATTTTTTGTATTGATATTTTAACAAAATAGGAATCCAAGGAACACTTATGGAGTATTTTTCAATAAAATACTTATTTGAATTAATTTCGCAAAAACAATTGTTTATGGTTAAAACAATTTTGTTATAACAATATTGATACAAAGAGAAAACAGACGGACATACTTCGCACAATGGGTGGGCCACTGTTGTAGGTGAGATGTTGAGAAGGTAGGATATAGATAATAATTTAATATATATCTGTACGCAACAATTAATTTTTCCTAATTAAAAACAATTCTGAACGGAGTTCGGCCGTAATGTTTACGATTTTCGTCAAAATTTGATATTAAAATTCTTATAAAAAATTAAATTAAATGTATATTATAAATATTAAAAACACTTTTCCTACATTTTTTTACCGATTTTTTCCAATTATTCGCTTGGTAAATCAAAAAATAACATTTTTAATTACTACCAATATAAAATTTTCTTTCAGAAAAGGTACTAGGTACATTTGAAAATCGGGGCGAGATTTCCGGTGGAAAACTTGTTGACAGATAAAAAAAAATAAACATCATTATAAAACCAATACATTCCTCGCTCCGCTCAAAATCTAAAATAAATCTATTATTAAAACTGATTTTTTAAAATAAATTGAAGACGGTTTTTTAACTATGCGCATTGTACTGATTCATAAAAATCGCTTAAATTACGGTCAAGTCCTTCGTTTCTATACGTATAACCTGTCATTCAAAAATTATTCGCCGCCCTCCTCTTAAACAAACTTCATACCTCCCCAGTATAGGCACGCGTCACTATATCTTAAGTTTTTTAGATACTGAATTGAGCGAGGAACGTATTGGTTTTACAATGATGTTTATTTAATTAATTTTTTTTCAATAGACATTTTTTCTACCAGCAATAAATCGGAAAACCAGGAGAATGGAAAAATTGATACAATATTAAACAAATATTATTAAAGAAAAATGTGTAATCATATATGACTATTTTACCATAGATCGTTGACAAAACAACACACCAACAACCGAACTCGGCTCATAATCGTTTATTCGTTAGCAATGGGTTACAAATGGTGTAGCAATCGTTGCGTACAGATGTACATTAAATTTCCCCTCTACCTTCCCAACTTCCCGCCTACAACAGTGGCCCATCCACGTGCGAAACATGTCAGTCTTTTTTATAAAATAAAATTTAAAAATTTGTTTTTTAATTTTATGAATATATGAATTTAATTGTATGAACATTCATCTTACCGCTGCAAATTTAGTACATCAAAATTAAACATTACGTATGCGAACTAAAAAGTCGTTGAAATCGATCGGTATACGTGTAACGCTGTATAATAACGACTTCCGAAATCTACTCGTGAACTACACCGCGGTGTTTATATTCGACGGGCCAAGCGAAATTGATATTTAAACCAATAAATAATTGGTTTCGCAGTAATTCGTGTGCGCGCCATTCCGCGACGTGGCGGCCAACCCGCCTGCCTCCCGACTTCCCGCCCGCAACGGTGGCCGCACCCGTCCCCGTTACCCCAGGACGTATTTTCATTTTTTTTTTTTCTGTTTCTGTTTTTTGCGTTTGTTACGGAGCTTGCGCTGGACGCGTGGAGACCCGCAGCGCTTTTGACGACGGCGACGATGATAATCGGCAGTACCCGGGGCCCGGTGATTTTCCCCCCGGCGGTGCAGACCGCGGTGGCCGGCGAGATTGTAAATTACAAATTGATTTTCCCGCCGGTGTCTTTGATGTGACCGACAGCCGCGCGGCGGTCGGACGCACGGACACACGCGCCAGCTACTCCTGTAATATTGCAATGGGACTTAATGGATTGCGCGCGCGAGTGCCGCGTGCATTAACGTCGCCGACCGTTCAGGTTAGGTACGCCGCGCCGACAATAATAAATAATTTTCACCTTTGAACGGCCGACGGCGGCGACAAGTCTCACGGTGGTTAAAAACGGTACAATAATAAAATACCTATAATGTACATTGTATATTTTTCCTATTAAAAAAATAAACGTGCGTACTGCGCCGTTGTATCGTTGGAATAAAAATGAAAAATATACCGTGTGCGGTTGCCCCGTCTCCCGAAAATAACGCGTAAAGTAATAAAAAAAATACCCCACGACCCCGTCGCCCGCCGAAAATACCTACGTTACTTCTCGTTTTCTTTTCACGCGCGTTTTTTTTTTTTTTTTTCTCATCAAACGATAAATTATACGATTCAAATTACGCAGCCGCGGTCGCCGAGAGAACGTCGGCGGTTCTTTTCAATAAGTTCTTCTTTTTTTTTTCCCGGCGCTCGGCCGCGTGCGACCCCTCGCGGTGTTGTTTTGTTTTTTGTTTTTTTTCTTAACTTTCTCGTGGTTTTTTTTTTCATCACGAAAACGGCAGTTAACACGTTTTTATTAGTGTCTCGACGGCAATTAATATCACTTTGAGGCCGGAGGGGGAGGAGATAAAGACTGTTATTACATTGTAATGATAATAATAATATAATATGCGTATACGAGGCGCAACAATATAACGCTCTCGCGGCAAAAAAGCGTATCGTATTATTGTTCTAATAGTGTTTCGGTCGCGACGAAATATAATAAACAATATTATCATATTATTTACGGTAGGGTTACCGAAAAAATCAAAAAAAAATCAATTATATTTCTCCGCGCTCGCGTCTTTTGTTTGTGTTAACAATAACATATCGAACGTTGTTTCGCGGCGAGAAAAAAAATTCCAGTTCGCTATCATCGGTTTTAAACGAATAACGCGATTTGTATAATATGTAATTGGTTTTTTGTTTTTTTTTTGTTTTTTTGGTACAGTTTGAATTATCGCCGACCACAAAACGGCACTAAGTCAAATCATAATCGAAATGCGCAACGAGGAACAAATAAGATCCCGTAATCGATTATTTAGAGAAAATCAATATTGACAGTTATTAGTCGCGAAACAAACACATTTACCATTTACAAAATATCGATCACCGTCATCACCCCAACATTACCCTTGAAAGACATTTTAGATTCTGAATGAAGCGAAGAAGCCTATGATTTTGCAAAGATGTTTATTTTTTTATTTTTTTTATTTATGCGCAACTCTTCTACCTGAAATCTTACTCCGATTTTGAAGTGCAGCATCTTTTCTCATAGGAAATAGGACTGGGAGAGAGGTACATTAGGGACGACATTTTTCGATTTGCTCAAGTTTTCGCATAAATATTATGATTTTTCTTTCTGCGGACAACTTTTCTATCGTACTTCAGAGGTCATATTTTGATTTTCTCACTAGTTTTCCTAATAAATGGGGAAATCCGGAAAAAAAACCAAGGGAAAACGTTAGAAAATGGTACAATATTAAACAGATATTATTAAAGAAAATACATAATGCCTTAATAATAATACAATTATTTTACCATACTGTGGCATATATATTGTTGACAAGCAACTACACTATCAACTGAACTCCGTTAACTTAACTCACTTTTTCGTTTGCAGTGATTTATGGTTGCTTGGTTAATATTAAATTTCCCCCCTACCTTTCCAACTTCTCACCTACAACAGTGGCCCGCCGACGTGAGAAGTATGTGGCCATCTTTTTAAATCTTTATCTCTCTAAAACACAGTGAATAAATTGGTAAGATTATTCAAGTTGAACATTTCTAGGCTCATTATATAATAATTTTTCTTTCTAATGTTTTAGATTATTAATAAATATTTATGTATATGAGTATATTTATGTAAATTATACATTACAGACTACTGTAAAATTTAAATGGTTTTGTAACAGTGTTGCATAAAAAAAATTTTAAATTTTAAATTGTTAGAATAAATTAAACCATATTCGATAATTTTGAATTATGGCACCTGATAAAACAGTGATTCCTTTAAAATATACAGTACTCAAGTAATTGTTATTATAAGCACAGTAATTATATTGGTTAGCTCAAAAAATCAAATCAAATATTAGACACTTTTATTAAAAATTTGTTTAATAATTGTAATGTAAATAAAAATCATGAATATTGAAAAAAAAAAACGTATGAATAAGAATAATAGGTTACTGAGGTTATAAGTGTGCATCATCACTGTGGTTGGTTAACTCCGTGGTATCTTCTTGAAACTTTCAAACGTATCTATTAATAGGAGTAGATCTGAAACTTTAGCATTTTTCCATCCAACGGTACTCTTTACATTATCAAAATTACTATATAAAACAAAAATAATATATGAAAATTATTAGTAACAAATAGGAAAAACAACAAAATATGTTATGACAAATAGGTGTATATTAAGTTTGATGACAATATTTATTTGAGAAATAATATTTACATTTTAAAATTGTATTTCATGTTTTAATTAATATTGTGCATATTGCACATTGAATAAGTCGTAATAACTATTGATTAAGTAACCATTTTTCCCCAAAACCTGATCAATAAATAAGTTGCTATACATCTCATTCTTAATGCCAATAATATATTATTATAATTTATAATACACACTTTTTATTGAACTCCATGGTTTGAAGTTTTAATTGTTTAACACTATGTTTATCGGCCAGAACTAAGAAATCACAAACATTATCAATTGATATTTTGTAACTTAAAACTTCTTCACAAAGGACATTCAGTCTCTCTAAAGCATACTATAACACCATAATTGTACATTTTGGACAATGTATTTTTTTTACGTGTGTGAATGTGAATATCAGAAAATGTATGAACAATATTTTTGTATATCTTGTCTGATGCTATCAAATTATTATTTGTCTGCCATGCTTTATATTTTTTTTGTTCGACCAGTGTACATAAATATCAATATTTCTTCAAAAACGTCATGGTCTACATTAATAATGGGGGACCGATTTCGTTTACTTTTTGCATACTCATTATCGAATATTGCAGCAAATACATTACTTCTTTCTAAATAAACACATTAACTAATACACTATTTGAAAAAATATTGCTGTATATAAGAAAAATAATGTGATTAAAATAATTACCAGAAAGGATATTTTTATATATTTGGAAATCCCGCCCACCAACCAATAATGTAATGTCACAGAATTTTCGTCTTTCAAATACATTTTCTCGATCTTTGTTTAAACAGAATTCTGGCACTTTGACTGAGCAGAACTGATCACGCTTTTTAACAATATCCACAACAGTTATCTGCAAACAAGCATTTTATTAAGTTATTATTTATAGATATATAATTATACTAGATAGATGATCTTGGATCATTTTTTCATTGTGGTTTGTTTAAGGCCATCCTTCACTTGCATCACTTTCAAAAATTGTTCTACCCTCTTCAAACCAAAAATGCAAGAACGTGACATAGTCTCATCATCATAAACTAATTATAACACTCAACCAGTGTTTCAGTGGCTGTTTTCCCAAGTGTATGGCAAAATTGTACGCACACACACATTGTTCTAAATTTTCGCTCATAATAGAATCCAACAAGACGTAAAACACAATTTATTTGATTGCTTCTAACAGCCGACTAAATTAAGTTTAATCGTATCTATCACAAATATGTTTTTCTAATATATAAAGTTCGATAAGTACAGCAAGTGTGCGTTCATACTTAATCAGGTTTACAAGTAATACTGTCAGTCTCGATACTTTTTACTAATTAGACCTCATATAGGGAAGATGGTCTCACTATAGAGTAAAAAAGCTAATACCATACTCAATGATATTAAAATATTTTAACAAGCACCATCGACCAATATCATATTTATAGTTTCAATTTTAAAATAGCTGAGAATGCCGATGGGAAGGTAGAATACATAAAAATATTTTATTTATGTCTCTATACAACAATAAATCATAACTAGCATAAAACCGTTATGTGCCAAGTTCAGTCTCAATACTTTTTAATAGCTTTGTTTATTTTAAAAATTTAGTGTGAACACTATAGTGTACAAGTGTTCGGTGTGGTGTATAGTGTGCCAATTCTAAACAAACGTTTTAGGTGTGGAAAGTGGAAAATTCAGCAAATTTTCCTCGTCTAAAACAACATCACCATTGTTTTTACGGTTTACTGTTAAATGCGTTCGTTTTTATTGTAATGTTAGAATCGCAAATATTAGATTAAATTGTTTTTTTTTTTTTTTAGTAGATGAATAGTGTATACTTATGTTTGCAAATCGCATAATGTAATTACCAATTAGTAATTTAATCTTAAAATCGTTATGTCGGTGGTCAATAGCCGTATAGTGATAAGGAAATATACGATCACGATTATAAGCTGGCTCCACACCAAAAGTCCGATTCCATACCTACTAATTTGCTAGTGTGAATAGTGTACACGCCAAATCAACACTTTTTTTAAACAAACAACGTGTACCGCGACACTTTTTCAAAACAAATGCTTTGGTGTACATTATTGGTCAAAACGAACAAAACGAATTAGACCTCATATAGGTAAGATGATCTCTCTACAGAATAAAGTCTATAATATACTCAATGGTATTATAATATTTTAAAAATATGCTAACCTTACCAGTTCAACGAAGTTCAATTAAGTTTGATTTAAAATGCTGAGATGTCTACAATTTTTACAACAATTTTGAACTTTATAAGATAATTACATAAAATAACTATATTATGCTTAACTTTTCGTTATATCCAATTAGTACAACATGATGGATATTATATTAAATATTTGGATAAATAAAAATGTTATCTACATTAAGTTCTCTTGTTCGTGGAAATGAAAAAAAAATAAAAAAGCTCAAGTCAAATCATAGAATAAAACCAGAACGCACATCTTGCTTAGAGATTCTAAGCACACTCTATGCTTATAATTTAAAAATAAAACGAAGTTAAAAAAAAAATGTGGTATGTAAATTATTCAACTATATAGATTCAAAAATTAAGTAAATATACCTCAAAAAATAAAGTAAGTGTGCCATAAGGTAAATTTCCATTCTCTTCTTTGCAGAAATCATTATAGTTACAGTCCATGACTTTTAAACATTCATTAGGATATAATAAATGCACTTGTTTCGATTCTAAAATCAAAAACCATATACTTAATTGATAAATAAATATTCATTATGTTTGATCACCAATCAGTGAAAAAACAGACAAGGCTCCCTCAGAATTTGTAATTCGTAAACGATTTATTTGTGTAAAAGAATTTGGCTTGTGTATCTTTAAATGAAATTTGTCAGTGGTAAATTTCTATGGATACCCGTAATTGTAAAATATACACTTTCAAGTAATTAAAGTTGATGACGTGTGACGTCAAAGTGTATAATTATAAATTCCAAGTTTTGCTTTCAAAAATTTAACTGCGTTCCTATGTTAGCTACATATCAATTTGAAACAAAAAACATTTTAATAAAATGTATGACTTAGAATACTTAATCCTAAAATTTATGGTTTTGTTTTTTTTTTTTTTCATCGGTACATAATTACCTGGGTGCCATATTAATAAATTTACGTAGAGTTTAAGTGAAGTTACCTCAAACACTTACATTGATATCTTTAATGTTGTTTTGTGTTATTAGTCACACGCGTCATTACAATGACGTACCGCGTACGGGTAAATTTATTCCATTGTGACATGAATGTGTTATCGCGATGACGAGACAACGTGCAGAGCGCGATTTGTTCGCGGTTAGAACGATAAACCAATGAGAACGTCGCATCCGTCCGCGGCCATGCCGCGTGTAGCGATTCTACTATTTCCACCATAATACAGCCACCGCGCGTTTTGATACCTAAATATTATTAATGAGAAATTTCAATGCGTTTAGCCAAGCGAATCCGTTTTAACCCCCGCCGTGCAACAGCACGTATTATGGGGGGGAAATTCAGAAAAAAAAATAATAATAATAATAATTAACAACAATAGAACCCGCGCGGAAAACGAAACAAAACGGCGGTTAACGCGGCGGCGCCACCCCACTCCTATCCCCCGTAATACGAATATGATTGTTATTATCAATTATGCGCGCGCGATAACCGCGGTAGCGTTATAAAGTCCCCGGGAAATCTGTTTTTCATTCATCCGACGACGGTTTGTGAATAATAATAATAATAATAATAATAGTATGCGTTTAACAACGGCCGCGGCGCTGCCTGTCGCCATTAGTCCGCGGGAACAATGCGCCAGACGGTGCGGGCGACGCTCGACGGGTTTAATGAAAAATTAACTTTTGAACTTTAGCGCGCGTCCAAAACGGGATGATAAATAGACGACGTGTGCGCCATGGCGTTTAATACTAACAATAATTATAATGATTTCTCGCTCGTGTTCGGCGCGTGCGCCTTTTGTCGTTTTTGAGCCCGAATCGTCGTCGGTATACCTACTATTTTTTTTTTACCGAATATTGTCCCAAAACACTTACCGAGAACGGCTCATAAACGTGCCGTAAAGGCCGAATAAACTGGCGGCGTCGTTTTTGCCAGAAAAAAATCGATCCGTATTTTCCTAGGGAAATGTCACATCTACTATCCTCCCCCCCCCCTCCGCCGCCGACAAATATTTAATTCGATTTAATCTGATACGAAAACGAGCTGATACTACTGACGGGCGGGCGTGGGCCGTTATATACTTATATGGGCGAGAAATCGGGAAGGTATACAGGATGCGACACACAGTTATTTAATTTGTATCAGCTGTATACCTACCGCCGTATCTGTTTTGAATTGCCGTAATTTTTGTCAAAACTTGAAAAAAAAAAACTGCTTAATTCATTACGCTCGATTTTATTCCAAAATTATGATGAAACTAGTGTACTCTTTTCTGAGTATTTTTGCTGGGCCAATACAATGTTATCCTCGAAAACCCAAATTTGAAAGGCCACAAAAGTTCAAAATTGTTATTAAGAGTGACTTATAATCCCACTTGCGTTGAGTAAAAGGTAAAAGCAAAAGGAACAAAAAATCAGTTTTTAATTTCAATTTATTATTGCACATTGTTTGTTTTCTTTAGTTTTTAATTCGTCGACACCTTGCATGTTGACATCATATCATGGTTAATGTAATTACATAATGTTAATGTTAATGTTATAATTATAACACTTCTTGATTGCAGTTTTCAAACGTTGATGTCGCATTATATACAAAACATCAAAATAATTCTATTAAAAAAAAAAATTAAAAAATGATTATCATAATTAAACAACATTATATTTTATATTATAAATCAATTAATCGCTTTTTCGATTGGTTATCGATTAATCATTTGTTCGATTAATAATTGTTCATTAGTAAAATAAAATATATTTTATAACAGTTGGATATATTTATTTTTTTAAATTCGAAAACGTGAACCATCATTGAGTTAATTTAATTTGATAATAACTAATATATATATAGTGTGGTAACATGTATTTACCATGACTGTTTTAACACATTTTATTTGCATTTAATTTTAGCGAAAAATATTACGTGGTCCGAGTACAATACATTATTAATACGATGACGCGGGCGTGCCATGTACGAAAATGATCAAAATGTGCAACGAATAAAATTACTCGTGATGCATATGCCGTCACTATAGTATGGCGTCATGGTAATATAATTTTAAAATAGCGTACATCTGAAATCCGATCGTCGTAAATCACGACGAGAACCCCAAAAATATACGCGCAAAGATCTGGGCTGTGCGGTTCGTGCGTCCTCAACGGCCAAAACGGAAGGAATCAAATATAATTTCAGTTGTCTTCGCGGATTTTTTACTGTCGCACGTTTCGTGTTCAAACAGCCGCGAAACGATCGTAAATTTTCCAAAAGATTAAAATAAATTTGCATTTAAATTATCACCTATACGCCGTCGTTTTCAGTGTACAGGTGCGTATATCGCCGCCGTCAGGCAAATTACCACAACGATGATGGTATAAAAAATCACAAACTGTATTCGATTTTCTAGATTTTAGTCTACGAAAAAGTAAATAAATTCAATATTCTAAATTGTCCGATTTTACGTTTAAAAAAAACTAGGTAGTTTGATAAAAAAAAAAAAAAAAATGTTTCAACGTTAGTCAAGTCACCACTCCGGAATTATATAGTTTGAATTTTCATTTGACCGTTTATTCTACACTCGAGTAAAGACTATTTGACCGTACAATTGCATTTAATGTCTTTTTTCACGACGGCTACGATATACGAGTGTTCTCCGTGGCGTGATTTTTTTTAAAGGAGGCAATCAAAATCAAAAGCGCAATAATTACACAAACCATAGGCGTGTGTTGGCGGTGCAGTTTTGAACAACCTGGTTACTATATAGTTTAACGAAAAATTCGTTTTGGCGATATCGTTTACATCAATTGTTTGATAACTACAGGCAGTTTTCGACCACCAGGTTGTCGGAAACATCAAACAATTACAAACTTACATTTATATTTACTGTCTTCGGTTATTGGGTATCCATTGTTGAAATTAAGTAAAGTAGTTAAACAAACCGTTCGGATGACATCGCAATCAAGTAGCAAACAATGCAGCAAACCGTTTTCGTCATCGTCAAAACACGCCGTTTTTATTATTACGAAATCATTAAGACCGAATAATTTTGTTATGATCAGATTTACCATCGAATAATATATTTTATATTTTGTACAATACCTAATATATATAAAAAAAAAAAAAAAAAGTGATTGGGGATCAAACCATCATATTCCCCCTCGTGTATTCGAGTGTTCCCCTTGAGTATTTTACAATTTTATTGAATAATGTGTGTCAAAGATTTATTGTCCTTAAAATATCACATCATGTAGGTAGGTATATGTATTATCAGTTGTGCAGAGAATTGTCAGCTCGGTCGGTGGTAAAACGCGTTTGTGATAAAACGTGAGCATTTATATCGTAATGTATGTATATAATATTATATACATGTTTTTTTTATCAAATGTAGGTAACGTTATCGAGTTATATGATCTAACGACAAACCCGCTGTATAGGTACCCAGTTACTCGATTTTCAACGTGCTCACGACGATGCCGTTGTATACCTAGGTATATAGATACGAGTGTTAGATTAAACAAAGTACATTTTAATAGTACTTATAAATAATACGAAAATAGACTTATTGGTACACGGTGCACCATTAGATTATTTGATAATAATTAAAACTCGTATACGGAGTACGCTCGACCTATCTGCACTTTTTATTCCTCTCCGTCACAAGTCCCAAGCGAGTGGGGTCAGCTCGCTTTCCACGTCTCTCTATTCGTCAATGTTTCGTCATCTATACCCATTCCGCGTGTCCTCTATTTAACAACCTATTTTTATCTAAATAAATTAACGAATTAGAAGTTTTAAATTGTATAAATATAAAAATATTTAAGAATTAAAACGTATACCTAACAAAGATCTTAACAAGTCGGTCCCGAATGAATAGTGAATACAATGTAGTTGAAACTCGATAGACGGTGATATTTGTGTACGCTGTACAGTTATAATTGTAATAATAAATAATGCCTACTATGGGCAATGTGTATTTGGATACCCCGGTGTTCGGTACATCAACTTGTTGATAACAACAATGCTAATAGAACGTACTCCATTAGACGAAAGGTGGAAAATAGTAAAGGGTATCATAAATAGTTAATCTGATGTAATGGGAAAACAAAGAAAAACAAAAAAAAAAACATGGTTTTACGATACGTGTATGAAGGCTTTGAAACTATAGAGTATGAAAAAAAGAAATAAACAACGTAATCAGATAGGGAAAAAAAATTATACCAAGAACATGCTAGAGAAAACAAAAAAGAACCATAAAATTAATAGGCCACGTCAATTATTCCAAAATATTATTGCATTAGGAAGGGATTTAAGTAACAAGTTAAATTTCTTAAAAATAGTCGTAATACACACGCTGATTACAGATCAATATGATATATTGGATAAATGGAGAGACTTCTTTGGAAACCTCCTTAATTGTGAAAATACCATAGATTCATTTGTTTAGTTTGACGTAGAACTTAATGAAAACGAATACCCATCTATAGTTGAAATAGCACAACAAATTAAAAGGTTAAAAAAATCATAAAACTCCGGGTGTTAAATGGGATTCAGGGTAAAATTTTAAAGATTCTGGATGAAAAACCATATAAGATTTACAAAAGCTAATAGAAATGATCTGGGAGGAAGAACGAATTCGGGATTGGAGAATCGCATTAGTGTACCCGATACATAAAAAGGATGATCGCATTATCATACATGGCTCATAAATATGGGCACTTAGAAAGAAAGAGGAAAAAAGATTAGCCACTTTTGAAAGAAAAGTTCTAAAACGAATCTATAGTTCATGTCTTGACCTACGAGCCGGGAGAATGGAGAATACGAAACAATGACGGGCTTCAGAACACGTTCCAAAAACTGTACACATCAAGAGAAGCAACGAAAAGAAGGATAATGTGGGTCGGACACGTCTGGAGAAAAAAAGACGAAATGATAAAAGCAGTGATTGAGGAGGATGCGGTAGGTAAAATACCGCTAGGCAGACATCACTTTATATGGAAAGATTGTGTGGAGAGAGACGTTTAAGCAGTAGATCCAAGAGCTAACTGGAGGGAAGTAGCAAAATACGGAGAGAGATAAAGGAAAATTTGTTGTGCGGGATGGTCTTCAAGGTCGGAACTCCTCCCCCCAAAATAAAAAAAAAAAAATAGAAAAATAGTAGACCTCGGTCACTCGCGATCACTTACGAGTTCAATTGGAAGATTTGATCGTCGGCGTATCTGAATGACGGCTGCGGTGGTCTTCGACTTCACGATGTAGCGACGTATAGCGGTAACCAAAACACTCGGTGCACGATTCGATAACATTATAACGAGTCGAATTCAACGAGCTTATTAACTAATAACAAGCTCTTCGAAATCAATCGGCAAACGTTATCCGAGAAAAAACGTATCGGGTACGGCTATATAACTGTGCGCGTTGATCGAAGACGACGGACAGGACGTCACCGGTGGCCGACAATATCGCGTTAGACGTGGCACTAATTTGCGGAGGGTGGGGGGGGGAGAGGAAACAATAAATTCGTAATATTATCACAATGAGCGAAGGACGGAGAGCTAAACGAAATTATAAAACTATCCGGGACTATTGAAATATACGCACGGTGTTCGGACGGACGGAAACCGTCGAAAAGGCGCGACGGCTGGTAACGTTTTTCATGGTCACTTTGAATCGGTCCCAACGCGACCGTTTGGGAGGTTCCGCGCAGTCGTCCGCAGCGATTGGGCACAACGGGATACCGTCGCGGAATTCGGACGAATCGGGTCCGCGAACGCCGTGGGACAGCGGCCCGTACGGCCAAATATAATAATATTCGCGAAAGTACCGCCAAATTTCGCCCAGGACCCGCGACGTCTTCGGCGGCGGCGGAGGTACGTCCAGATCGCACGAGTTCACAGCGGCCGCGGACCACCGGTCGCCACAGCGGTTCCGTGTTGACGTCGTGCCGTACATAGTGTTTTATTTTAAGTGTTGTCGCACGAGTAAGTCGTTTTAACGCGAAACGAAAAAATAATGATTGTTTTATAATTGTTAATGAAACATTATCGTGCGATAACGTCGTCATTGAAACCGGCAGCGTTTGGCTTGAACAAAAGACTGAAAAAAAAAAAAAAACCGTCCGATTATATTATAATAACATTGTTAAATAATGACTGTATCGGTATAAAGATTAATATGACGGTAGGGAATTTTTTTTTTTTTTTTTATCGTATCATTAGGTATAGGAGGCACACCACTACTGTATTCTGTTGATATTCGTTGATAAGTACACGTTAATCGCTGTTCGATATTAGTTATTTAAATGATATTATATTTTATAACGCGTGCATCTAAACGAATTAATGATTACGTTTAAAATACGTTGCATTTTTGCTGTCAACAATAAATTCTGTTTCCCTCTGAATTTAAGGGGTTTCGTATAGGCAATTTTTTCGTAATTGTGGACACATGAAATTGTAGACAGTTAATATAAATATTTATTAATTCGGTTTGGTTAAATAATTATTTTTTTTTTTTTAATTAAATTAAGATTTAGTTAAAATATATCATTAACTTAACTTCAGTAAATAATTTAAATTAGTTAAAAAAAAAATGTTTAAAATATTGATTAGGCATTCAAAATTACAATACCTAATAAAAATTAATGCAAACATGAACTATTATCTATGTATGTTTTTTAAAACCTGTGGAGTTGTTGCATTTATAGAATTTTAATCATAATTCATATTCAGGGATCACTTAAATTTAAATTTGAATGTAAAAATGATTACCCGCTATTGTATTATTTAATATTAATAATTTATTAATTTACAAAATAAATAACTTAAACGAAGAGTACAACAAGACTACCTATTAGATATAAACTTTTATTCAAAACATCCATTAAATTTTAACAACAGATAGGTAGTAACCAAGTAATATGAATATAATTCGTGGGCTCGTGACTGTTTACCTATGTTCCGAATAATCATCATAATTATATTATTTAGTGTGTAATTTATTATAAAACTAACAAAAATGTTTACGAAAGACCGTTTAGCCAAGGCTATAACCAAATATGGACTTAATGACGAAACCAAATTTTTACCAAGAAACAAATAACAAATAACGTTAATTTTAGTTTTTCAATGTCATTAAATTAGTGAAAAACTTAAGACTATTTGATTTGCATTTTCGTTGTATAATTTTTCAAATATAACTCTTAATTTTACAGAACTTCTAAATTGAAAAAATATAGAAACTTTGATTGCTTAGAGTCGGATAATTATAAAATGTACATTGTACATGTTTAGGCATTCAAAATATTTATTTAATTAAATATTTGGGAATTATAGTTTATGAACAGTATTCAATATTCAATAAAACAATATTCTAATTATATGCAGTACATAATCATTAAATTTGCAACATTTTGTATATTTTAAAAATCTAAGGCATACTCTGAGTCCTTCGTTATGGAAAACAGTTTGTTTTTCACTTACACGATCAATTGTTAGGTATGGTAAGAAGTCTGGGGCGGAACATACAATACTCATCATCCCGTGAGCTTAGAGTCTACAACGGGTAGGTTAATAAAATTGATTTTGCACAAGTCTTGGTTATATCCTACGATCAATTTGTTTTCTGGTTTTGGAATATTTAATTTAAAAGCCCTTTAAAAAAATGAATCTTAAATCTATTTAAAAGTGACGTTACGATATTTAAACCACCACGTTTTAACAATCCCCAATTAAAAACATTAAGTCATTTAAATTGTATACAATTTAGTGAAAAAATTGGAAACTTAAATACGATTAATACAGCAATCGATTTATGTAGAAAGTTAAATATTGATATCACTAGATTTAAAAATAAATTAATGTTAGTTAATTGTTTGTGTACCTTATATCTAAATGATTTAAATGTATAGTAGTATATTCGTCCTGTTTTCATGTATTGTATTTATTGTTTTTTGTTTAATTTAATTAGTACCCATTTATAGTTTACTTAATTTTTAAT